CAAAGTTTCCTTACTTTAGCAAAGGAAAACCAGTCTCCTCTTGGTTTATATCGAAATCCTCCAACATTTTTCTTTACAAATCCTTGTTTTGTGCTTCTAATTAGTGACCAGCGTTTTGTTTTGTTCTCTCTCCGCATTCGTCACTAATCACGCAACGCCGACATCTTACGTCATCCGCCGGAACGGCTTCCGTGTATGACAGATAACGGAAGTGAGAGAAAAGTGTTTATTATGCTTGAAATATTGATATTTTTCTTACAAAAACACAACCATGTGAGGCACGTTTTATTATGGATGCACGCACTTTATTTGACGACTTTGTGGACTGTTCAAATGCAACACCAGCTGACTGCAATGATAGAGCTTTGAATAGCCAGGACAATTTTTTATATTATTCTGACTGGATTCGTCTGAAAGAATTAAGTCATATACACTTATGATGCCTCGAGGGTGAGTTCAAACACAAGCTAATTTTCATTTTTGGGTGAACTAACCCTTTAAGGACAGACTCCTTAAATCAAACATAAATGCATAATCACCGCGATAAGCATGCATTTGTGCAAGCTCACAATTCTGGTGACGCTAAAGCAGATGAAAAACCAAAAGGACTCCACAATAAAGGTGCCGCGCGCCTGCAATTAGTAGCTATCATGCTCGCGCAAACAGCATCAAAGCAATGCACACTGCCAACCGCACACAATAGAGGCGTGTGCGCTGGCTGCCAGCTTCCATACTAGATGTGCACATGATAAAATTACATCGATATGGCTTTTGAGGATATAAGTGAAAATTACCAGTGCGATTGCAAATCTCTCCTCCAGTTCGGCCGGGTCCGGCATGGGCAGTTTAGAGGGTTTGCTGCCCCTCGCCCTGAAATCTGTGAGCTGAGCATCCATACTTTCTGCGTTCCCCATGTTTTTTGTCTGATGCCCAGCGACGGTAAACCCTTTGGAAAAACGTATTCGGCACCAAAATGTAATCAAGAGGCAAAATGCAACCAAAAAAAATAAAAAATAGTGCAGGCTTTTTATAGGTGACTAGACACCCTCTCCATCGATGCAAACCCGCAGCTCTGTATCAGATGCGAGACTTCGACAATAGCATCCCTACATTGTTAATCCGTATCTGTCGGGCCCTCCGTTCATTTTTTCGGAGCTGTTGAGCATCGTTCACTCAGCGGCTCTGAAGCTGGGCGCATTTATCTGTATCATGCACAATAAATGCACCGTTGGAGGTTTGCGGCATGATAACGCGCATGACTCGGGCAGGCCAGTTAATCCGCGCTGTGTGGATGATAACAGACGGACTTCAACAAAACGCAAACTCTCCCATTCAATCCCCGACACAATGAAGCCTTTCAGCACCAATCCCCCGCTGGGGAGTGCCAAAAAGCCATGCTGAGGAGTCGAGGGGGAGGCAACGTTTTGTTCTGTTGCATGCTGGTATTTGTAGTTTGGAAAGCGACATTATAGATTTACTGTAACCGTCTAAAAAATCTCCTAAAGTACAACATTTATTGTAGTGTATTGTAAAAACGACCGTGGTCATGTAACGTTATGACGTTGTGCATTATTTTATCCATTGTATGTTTTATTTTATTATTATTTTTATTTATTTTACATCTACATTCTTCAAAATCGCCACCATTTCCCTTCATAACAGCTTTGCACACGCTGGAATTTAGTACATTTTGAAGGAAAAGAAGGAAATAATAATAAATGTTATAGTATGAATTTAAGTTAGAACTACAGAGAAAATTAATATTATGCTTATAGCCTTTTATTTTATGTTTAACAAGGCAATTATGCCGTTTTAAGTGATAAAAAATTAGGCTATCACCTGTCATATAGGCTATACTTTATTGAAAATCTTTAAATCAGTCAAAGTGTTAGGCTATGTTATGTTTTTGGCATTACTTAAATGTGGTATTTTTTCATATGTTTTTATCAACATATAACATTTCATTGCATTACATATGTGCTTAATATTATATGATATATTTTAATGTATAAATTATAATATTTTTGCAGTAACAATCAGATTTTAATAGCTTAAATAGGTTGGTATATTAGCATTAGCTATATAAACTAATGTATAGGCCTATTGTTAAATTTAGTAAATTGCTCCTGTGGTCATCTGTCTTTTTCACTAAAGACCTGAAGGAATCCTGATTCCTCTCCAACTATTTCAATAATTCCAGTGAAGACAAACTGTGGCAACAGTTTTTTAACCCAAAGTTAAATATAACTATATGCACAAACATAAGATTACATGTGGTACATGTGAACAGTCATGAAAATGTACTCTCTTTAAGTACACTTAAGCTGTCTTTTATTTGATTAATACTAAGTTGTTGTTTAAAAAAAAAAAAAATTTCAAGAGTGCACATTCAGTACAATTAAGCACACTTCTTTTTCGCAAGGGTCACGCTGTGCTTTGAACTGCCTGAAAAAGAAATAGTGCCATTGCATGCTAATATGATGAAAATCTGCATCTGAAAAATAACTGCAATTTTGACAAACAAACAACATAATTGTCACAAAAACACAGAAGGGAAACACTTTATTTATATGTCCACTGTTCAGAAATTCACTGCCAATTATGCTGATTAAACCAAAACTAACAAACAGGGCCAATAGATTTGTTGATTTGTGTTATACGTTTTAATATACTACTTCTGATGTGATGGGAAATTTAAAGCATTATATGTGTAGTGAAAATTAAAAGATAAGACAAAACAGCTCTGAGTTTGAATTCTATGACTAATTCATTCTCAGAGAATAGTGCAGACACTCAAAGGCAGCAGAAGCCTGTACGGGGTTTATAAATATCATGTGAGGGGTTGTATTGCAGGTTGCTGCACAAAATTTACCTCATTGCTCTGTCATGCAAGTGAATTAACTCAAAGAGGGCAAAATTAATTCAAAGTGCAAACAGCACAGAGTCTAATGATGGTCACGTTCTTCTATCAGCTACAGTTTCTAAACGACTGAATTAACTACATTCAATCATTTAGCAACAATAATTCTTATAACTATTAAATAAAACATAATAATATAATCATTAGTTAATATCTTCATACAGTAAAGTCTCCAAAAGTATTTAAACTGTCTTCATATTGATTCCAATACCATATAGACTAGACTAGTGTTATTTGAAGAAGCACTGTCGTGTTTATACCACTAGATTACACTGCAGTGCAGACCTAAAATGTCAAATGTGTGCACAAAAGTATACTGACTTACAAAATTACAGACATGGATGAAATCAATGTAACGTAATCAGTATGATAAAACAAGTGGTGGATTTTTTTTCATTGCTATACAGGCATATGGTTGTCACATTTAGTTTTGTAGTCCCTGTTGGTAAATCAGTCTGGATAATTGTCTGGACACAATGGCACAAGCTGGAATGTTTTTGATCTTGGTAAAAAGTTTTACCCAAAAACAGTTGCTCTTTCCAAACTATTCTAGGCAGTAAGAAGAAATATGAAGATGGTGTAAAACAGAAGATTCAAAATGGTGTAAAATGTTTAAGATATTCATAGTTCCTGTGTTATTCAGTCGTTCTCCTCCTCTATCTCACATCGTCTTTCACTTCTCCATCATTATCCACTCCTGTTTCCATCATTATTCAATCCTCTTCCTCTCCTTCCTCCTCCTGCATAAACTCCACCATCAGTTCAGCGGTACAGGAGGCTTCTCCCAGACTGTTGACGGCTTTGCAGGTGTACTTGGCATCATCATCAGGACAGACCTCTGAGATCACCAGGCTACAGTGGCCATCCTCTTCATAGTCAATCTGGAAGTGACGCGTCTCCTTAATAGGCAGGTCGTCCTTGTACCACACAACCTCAGGGTCTGGGTAGCCTTTGTGTTCAGAAGACACAGTAAAACAGTAATAAATCAAAAACACTGTTAAAAATTAAATGCAGATGCAAGTGGACCACACAACAACAGTCATTGAACTTAGGTCTACCAACAATTAACCATAAGGGCATACTGTAGCATTTAAACATCATGTGCAGAGTAGTGGACCATATTATGGTGTAAGTGTAAATGCTACGAATCATACCCAGTGCTAATTTGCTAATTTTCTGCCTCATGATGATCAAATTGCCAAGCTTTTACATTATTTGTGACTTTTGAACATCACCATATAAAGGGAGAGAAGGTAAAAACAATCCTCATGTTGATAAGGAAATGAGCAGGTAGAAAAGGATAACTGTTTTCATTTGAAATCCTAAAGGAGATTAAAATAACAATACCTTTTAAAAATATACTTTTTTTTAAACTGCTCAACCAAATGGCTGATGGAATTTGAAGGTAAGAGAATAAAGCAAATAAGCCCCAAGCAGCCGTGGTTTACAGTGAATTTATAACAGCTAAGGGGAGTTGGAGTGCCTAAAACCCCCTTAGCTGTTATAAATTCACTGTAAACCATGGCTTCACGGGGCTTATTGCTTTTATAAAACAGTTATTCCATATACGTAGTAAGGTTTCACAAAATAAAACAGAGCAAATAAAGTGTAATATTAATAAAAACAGTATTCTTCCACCAAACAATGTAGTTCCTCAGAAACAGTTGTGGTTGCAACAAAGTGGTTGCCATGCAACAGACAAACGTAAACAAAGGTGTATGTTTGTAGAGTAATTTACAACAGCTTCGAACGTGGCTCAGCCAATCAGAATCAAGGAACGGAACTCTCCATTTTATAACTAATAATAAGGTTATATTATAGCTGATAATGTTAGCAGGTACAAAAAGCATGTACAAATAGTGTTTTGTTGCATTAGGATTAAAGTATTTTCTTATTAAATTAAATAATAAAATTTTATAATTTAACGAAATGAAATCCCTTCAGTCCCTAAGATATGTTTAGACACCATAAAGGCATTTATTTTTCTTTAGCATCCAACAACAATATTAAGATTGAATAAGAACCTGGAATTTCACTTACAAGCTAAAGGATATACCTTTCAGAAGTTTAGAGTCAGTAAGAAATGAATAAATTTATTCAGCAAGGATGCATTAAATTGATCAAAAGTGTCAGTAAATACATTTATTTAAATGTAAGGGTTAAGAGCAGAAGAATTATAACTCAGCACTTAGGGCCAGATTTATGCCAGCGCAATCCCTCTTTTGCGTTAAAAAACTACTGTCAAGATTTATTAAAGACAGATTTTTATTTTTAAAAAACGTGTATTAACTCACTTTGCACCTGTGTTTTTAGTAGATTATATGCACCTGATCATCATCAGCTCTGCTTGTTTGTGACCCTATGCTATACACGTCACATTGTAATTACCGTAATAACGAGATATCAACTTGTAAAAAGCATTCACATCCTCGTAGAACTCCTAATTACAACTCGTGAACTGGAACTTTTCTGAGAGCTACGACTTGTACTATCTGACTACCTAAGATTCATTAGGTGCTAAGTTTAGGCATTGATAGTGCGATAGCGCCGTGTCTGAGTCCAAGGGTGTGAACAGCTCCAAGTAGAAATTACAGCAATTACGACATGGCGTGAATGCATCAAATTTATGCTGCTTTTGATAGATTGCATTGGTCATTACAGAAATGATCTGGATGCATCTGTGTTGTTTATTCTGCGCATTGTCATCAGATCACCCGCAGAACTTTCCACTCCCATTGGAGCTTTTATGGGATTGCGTTCTCACGCTAATTTGCCCTGTTTAGTAAATCTGTCCCTTAAAGTCTAAAAGCCTTCAAGGTCAAAGGTCATTACCCTCAATCTTGCAGTCAAAGCGGGCAGCACTGCCTTCCACCACTTCTACATCCTGTATGACAGAGGAGATCCTGGGGGCCACAGGGGTGCGGTTTTCATCCTCCACACTCTCAAGGAACGGTGCAGGAGGCTCTTCTGAACACAAACACATTTATTAATGTGCAGCTAACATTTTAACATGTATGACATTTAATACGCAATGTTCAGCATCAATATTGAAAACTGGTTGCTGGACCATTACCGTCAGTTGGGGAACTTTTCTTTGGACCGATTCCTCCTAACATTCCCATAGAGCTGAACCTGGAGATGGCTCGCACTGCATTCCCTGTTTTCTGCACAGACACTCACAAACATGAAGAAAACAGTTTCCCATGTAACTCATAGAAATGAATTCTTTGTCTAACAAATAAATTAAAATAAACGCCAGTGCTTTCACCTGCCAGCGGCGTCTCAGGATGTACTTCTTCATCCTCTCTTTGGAGAGTTGTTTAGCCTCCATATTTTTGGTGTCCTGTTTGAGCCAAGAGTGCTCTAAACACTGAGCGCAGGTCAGTCTGGCCCTACGGAGTGGCATTTATAGGGACACAGAATTCAGATCAAATGCTTAAAATCCTTTCATCAACATTCAGCATGAACTAATACATTTGAGTGATAATTTTCTTTGCTTATTACACCCTCCATTTACAATAATGTAGATTTTACTAGGTTCTTTGTGAGTTGTTAAGGGTCTGTGCCAAGAGCTCAGGATGTGCTGTTCAAGAAATGTGCATCTACACAGTGCTCTACAAAGGCTTTTGATTAACTTCGAACAATGCTGGTATTTCTATAAAAATTATAATGTTTCTGATTCAAAACTTTCTTCAGTAGCTTTTCTGAAGCTTACCTCATGTCCTTTTTTAGGAGACTGCTGATGAAGTCTTTGGCCTGATCTGAAATCTCATCAAACGCCTCATCCTCAAAATCCCAGGTGGCTGAGGTGACATTGGCAAGAGTTTCATTGTCATTGTCTCCCATGAATGGAGAGAGACCACTGACACTGAGGGTAAACAAGAGGACGGCTATTAGGCAATAATCTTTCACTCTGTTAGCGCACAATCAACCAAAATGTGATGTAAGGTACAACAGGACTAAAAGCATCCCTTAAAGGGGTCATATGATGCTGCTAAAGAGAACATTATTTTGTGCATTTGGTGTAATGAAATGTTTATGCGGTTTAAGGTAAAAAAAAACACATTATTTTCCACATACTGTACATCATTATTTCTCCTCTATGCCCCGCCTTTCTGAAATGCGTCGATTTTTAAAAAGCTCATCAGTGTGAAAAGCGAGGTGTGCTTTGATTGGCTTGCTATCCAGAGCGTTGTGATTGGCCGAATACCTCAAGCGTGTGATGGAAATGTTACGCCCCTTACCATATTGTGATGCCCTGTCCGGCCAGAGCAACGAGACATAAACATTAAAACCCATTATAAACGAGGCATTTGTTGCATCCAGTGGGGACATAATTACGGATAATAATGACTTATACGGTCTTTTTACGCGTTGCATTGCATCGCGCCGCGTAAACATAAAACCATGTCTGCATTTGTGATCGGAGAAATGACAAACAACAAGTACTACTCTACACTGCCCAAAACTCACGTTTGAATCATCAGTGGCAAATCCTTTAAAT